AGGAGTGAGGTGGACGTTTTTTTGACGTTGGGATCCACTATGAGAGAGAACGATGGCCGTTGGTGTTTTGGTGCAGGATTGGGCGGGGTGCTCATTCTGCAAATTTTTAACGAAAAATGAGAATTCAACCGTAAAAACCTCAAATTTCCCCGCCCTACTTTGGAGAGGTCTGGGCTAGAAACATAATTTGTGTTTACCAAGGCATTCATTTGCAACATTGTCGTGCGCTTGCAGGGCCCACCTGATGGACGCCGCCCTAATTCGAATTTCGAATTAGCGCGGCGGGAGAATGATTTTTTTCCCGGACGGGACTGCCCCCACATTGTTCGTTAATTTAACAGTCAAGGCGCGCAAAGCGGGAGCAGGGGATTGAAGGGCGTTTGCGTCATTCGCATCTCGAAATATTGGATATGGAAGGAATCTTTGGGGTTCTTTTTGTATGTTTTGGTACAATTTATTTATTTATTTTAAGGATGAGTTCTAAATTTTGAAGCTACTTATAAAATAATTAAGGGACAATTTGGGGCAATTACAGTTTATTAAAAAACAGTTATAATGTTTTTTTATATATATAAAGTCAGATCATAGCTAGAAAATTGTCACTGTAACTAGCCAGGAGTAGTGGGAAACGCAAATTTCAGCTGTAATTTTTAAAAAAAAACTGTCAAAAATCAATTTACTCAAACAGTCAAATTATGATGTGATGTCGTACCGCCATCGCACCGCAATGAAGTAAAAATCTATGTTTTAACTTATTGATAGACCCTCAAGTGCATCACATTTAAATGAGTTTCACAAAATACAACTTAAATTCAACTCACGGTTAATAATTAATCCACAATATTTGTATGAACTTAATCACTATACCATAACTCTATATGGACTAATCTTAAGTTTCTAAAGCCATCTAGATCATCATATTTAAAAGTTTGATGTTCAACATGAATCTTAAAAAGTTACAAGCATTATAATTTTAGTTCCCCGTCACTTTATAAGATTTAGGAAAAATGCTCTCAGTTTAGAAGTATTATGGTGTGACATGGATCTCAACACAAGCATGATTTTCGTCAATTATACGATCAATTGGAATACAAAAATGCCTTGAATCACAAATATGATGAAAAACAATTATTTACAATTAGATTCGTCACACATCAAGCCGACAAACTAACATCTTCATGACTCTTAACTATAATTGGGTAGGTCGGGCTAATTTGTGATTTGACTAATCAAAGCAAACTCATACTAGGTTTGAGCCCAATTTCTATTTAATTATTCGTAGATAGACTCGCCTACTAAATGAGTTGGGCCAGCTAACGGGCTTAATAGAAAATTAATTTTTGAATGGATAAGAGGACATCTCGTAGGAAAATATGTTATACCAATATCTTTAAAATATATTGCATGAAATATTATCTGTTTTACTTGATTTGTGCTTTTTAATTTTTTTCATGCTACGAATATCAATGAATCATGCATGTTCTCAACGCTATTAGAACACCCACAAATAACAACATTAGGGTTTGTTTGGGGCAGTTGTTGATTATTTATAATCTGTTGATAAGCAGATTATTCTTATAATCTGATAATCTGACGATTATTAGAATAAGCTGACTTGTTGTTTTGGACAACTTATTGATCACTGTTGTTGGATAAATGATCATTCTGCCAATGTTTACTTAAGTTGTTTGCAACAGAACTGTATGAGTATAGAATTAGATAAAACAGAACTCACAAATCATTACAGATCAATCCAAAAAGATAATATAAAGTGCTCACACTATTCATTATATGTAGTCCTAGATTTCTTCAATTTACAAACATAAACAACTTTTTTCATTATGTTCAAACATAGGAGGCTGTTCTACAAATGTTAAACTCAAAATTCATTTGAAAGAGCTTAGGAGCAACCCCCTTGTAACTCCCATAAATTTACAATGGTTGGCAACCCCCTTGTAACTCCCATGTACACTATTATGTACGCAGAGATGCGTACCTCTTGACGTACGCAAATTTTTTCCCTCAAACAGACCATAAATCTTATATCATATAGGTTCTTGATTCAAGATTGTCCCTTCACAAGCAAAAACACAAAAACGAATTCTATGGGACTTTCAATTCCCGTTCCAAAAATCTTCCACATTGAAGCTACCATTTAATAGTGGGATCAAGCCACATTTTTTCAATAACAATGCATGTTAATTTGGAAATAAATGAAAATATCATTAAAATGAATTATATATTTATTGGACAGTGTGGTACTGCAAGTTAAAGCAAAAAATACAGAAAAATGATTGGAAAATCATTATTCTGAAAAACACAAGATGTCTGTAAATCCCAATCACGTAGACGAACAAAATCTTACAAACTCTTGGCATGCTTGCCAAATCACTAACAAAAGAAGTGCAATTCACTGGTTGTGAAATTAAGGAGATTCTCGTGATGTTTTTATTTTATTATTATTATTTTTTGTTTAAATCTTGAATTATTTTCTAATTTCACATTAGAATTGCCAAACACTTCCAGGGGAGTAAGGATTCGTCATTTGCAGAATAAGAAGTAGGGATATAATGTTTATTTTCAGGTTGGGTTCGACATAGGCAGGCTGGGTTTGACTATTTCGGGCTTGACTAAGCCAAAGTGGGTTGAAGCCGGGCCGAACCTATCAAATATATTTTTTTTTGACAGTCAAACCAGCACATTCTTATCAGCCTCATTGCGAGCCCGTCGAACCACCTGCCAGTCTAATCGTAACAATATATGCAAGGAAAATATGATTATAGGTCCACACAACTTTCCATTTTGTTGAATACTTTCAAGACTCAGATTGTTGAATACTTTCAGGACTCAGAGCTGCATATTATTCGCAGGTTCATACAACTCGTTAAAAGATTTTGCAATAGATAGAGAGATGAATAAAAGCTTTTTAGGGGAACTTTAGACCTTTTATCTCCCAATGTCAGAGAGAAATGTTGATAGAAAGCAATATCGAGAGAAAGAGTATAGGAAGATCTAGGGAGAGAGAGAGAGAGAGAGGACTCTGTATCAACGCCTAAACCTACAGTAGTACAAATTTCTTATATATTTATATATCTCACACTAAAATTTTTATATTTACATAGATAGCATATATTATTATGTACTTACATTTCTGACACTCAAATTTTTCAAATTTACATACTTGCAAGAATAGCACATATTTACATACATATCACTAATCTTATGTATTTACATATCACTAATCTTATGTCTTATGTATTTACATATCTCACTCCTAAATTTTCATATTTACATACAAAGCCCAATTTTTTTTATGTAAGCATTAAATTAGTGGTTAATTAAGTTTGTTAGCAGCAAGTTCACAATATCTATATATAGAAAAAAATTAAATAAAAATATTATAGAAATATATATATATATATATATAGAGCAAAATCATATCAGAAGTTCAACAGAGAACAACCAAAATAGTCAATTGTGTGCATGGCAACAAAGCCAGTGCTCCAATAAAACAGTCAGGGACATAAAAATATAATTAACATCCAGTTGAAAGCAGCAAATGAGAAATACTTTTAGGACTGAAACATTGTTTACTTGATCTTCTTCTTAGGCCTCAGCTGCAAAGTTAACAAATAAGAAAACATAAAATTGTTAAATAAATAAGAGAAAATTACATACATATACATGTATTGTAACAACATTGATAGCGAAAGTATTTAGGAGACATTTGGTTTCTAGTATTTGAAAATCAAATGTATTTTAAATGTAAAGTATGATCAACCTATTTGAAATACTTTGTGGTGTTTAGGTGAAACAAATAAACCCAAAAGTTCAATTTTGCATTTGATTACCGAAATTCATCTTTTGTTAAAGCATATTATAGCTTAGTGACGTTGGGATTAGCCCTTTGATACGAAGTATTGGGGACTGGATAGAAAAACCTCAGGCATGACAGAGTCAACATGAACAAAGTAAAATCAACCTCTTTGCCGCATGTAGGCAACTTCAACTCCAAGTTCTAAAGAGTTTTGCAATTTTCAGAAAGAAAAATGAGCAATGCTCCAGAAACGTCAGCATCAATAAATAGTTTAATATATGCCATAGTATGTACAATGCCAGATACAGTCTATATAATTAGCGTTTTAAGGCTATTTTACTCAAATTCAATAAAAGAGTATTTACACATTATCAATAATGAATATAATGTGAGTGAAGATTGAAGCCTTCATAAAGAGTAACTTTTAACCAATGAAAAAGATAAAATGAGAAAGGAGATGATGGCAAGGAGAAAAAATGGAAAAGAAAATTTAGAGTAAGCCTAAGAAGGTCATTCCATATCCAGTTTGGTTAAATTTTAAAAATTAGTCGTCTCAAAATCAGCTTCAAAATAATGCCCATTGTTTCATTTAGAAACCTGCTCATTTGCTCAATATCCAAAGCTCTGACTTGGTTGGTATTCTTTCTTTTAAAACTTTCTTTAAAAATTATCTTTTGTGATCCAGCATGTCTTGATTTTGTGTAGATGGTTCATATATATATATATAAAGGCACTTTATATCTCCTTCTAGAGAGAAATTTGTGCCAACAATTGTGTTTTGATGTTTAAAATCTTCAAAAACAGTTATTGAGGGGGAAAAAAACCCCTTACAAACCTGCTAAATATAGTAGATGGCCTTCGGCAAGCTAAAGCGTCGTATTTTTTCACTCTAATATTAAGATTTTGCACTAAAATCATGTACTGTTATTTGTAGGATGATTGTTCCGCCTTATACTTGGTTGTAGGGGTTATTTACAAAGTTACTCAAGCAAGATAAATATTACTCAAGTCATTGCTTCTGCATCATATTATTTGGAGGACAAAACACCAACATTGTTGAAATTGATTTACAAGTTGCAAGGGTTACCTGGTTGCTATGTCCACACTTTTTCTTCTTGCAATTAATAGCTCGTGGATGCAGCCTTGCATAACACCTACAAAAATCAAAATTGATGTTTAAAATATATGCTAATAATTTAAGGGAAAAAAACAACAATAAATTGCATTTCTACCGGCCCACTTAGTGGGATAATAAGTTTTTTTTTTTGGTTGTTGTTGATGTTGTAACAATAAATTGCTTCTTTGATAAAAAAACTTTAAATTATAAAGTAGAACCCAAAAAAATACAAAACCGCGATATCAAATAATAAAATCTACACCAAAAACCATTGACTTATTAAACAAGCACTAGCATTATATAACAATTATCGATAGTAACAAAAAAACCACAATACAAAACACAACACACAATAATACTGTAATATACACTCATTAGCTGTATCAAATTGAATACATTTAATGGGGATTAGGCTATTTCAGGCTTGAGTCGAACCTATCAAATATATATATTTTTTTCATATCAGGCTCATGGCGAGCCCGTCGAACCAGCTGCCCGTTGTGTAGTCTAATCTTAACAATACATGCAAAGAAAATATGATTATAGGTCCACACAACTTTCCATTTTGTTGAATACTTTCAGGACTCAGAGCTGCATATTATTCGCAGGTTCATACAACTCGTTAAAAGATTTTGCAATAGATAGAGAGATGAATAAAAACTTTTTCGGGAAACTTTAGAAAACCTTTTAATTTCCAATGTCAGAGAGAAATGTTGATAGAAAGCAATATCGAGAGAAAGAGTATAGGAAGATCTAGAGAGAGAGAGAGAGTGGACTTTGTATCAATGTCTAAACCTACAGTAGTACAAATTTCTTATATATTTATATATCTCACACTAAAATTTTTATTTTTACATAAATAGCATATATTATTATGTACTTACATATCTGACACTCAAAATTTTCAAATTTACATACTTGCAAGCTTAGCACATATTTACATACATATCACTAATCTTATGTATTTACATATCTCACTCCTAAATTTTCATATTTACATGCAAAGCACAAATTTTTTATGTGCATATCTGACACCTAAATTTTCATGTTTACATATTTACATGCATAGCCCAAATTTACATAACTCAAACCTAAGAAATACATAGCACAAAATACATATGATTAATCAAAACACAAATTTCTTATGTATTTACATATCTTAAACCTAAAGCTTAATCTTTAAGCATATATCAATCTAAACTTATGTAAAACCATGAATCTGTAGACATTGCATATTTAACAAAGGAATAAAATTTTTTTTTTGAGCAAAACCTATATATTTCAGATCTAAAACCTATGCAAGGAAAAAAAAATAAAAACTTATGTGAAACCAAAACGTAAAATTGTGGAAGAAGATTTATAATCTTGGATGAGGTTGGAGGGGTGAATTGGAGCCGAAATCACCAGAAAACTTCTGACGCGACGAAGGAAAGATGTAGGAGAGGAAAGGAGTTGGGTGAAAAAGAAAAATGAAGTGGAGGCTGCGGTTTGCGAGAGCCCCACTTTAGGGCTATTGCATCAAAATTAGCGTTGACTATAGCCGACGCTACAGTGTCGAATAAGCTTCCCGCACTCAACATAATTTGTCTGCATCAATTCTTTTTAGAGCGGGACTGTGGGCGATGCTAAACAGACACAAGTCCGACATTAATTTTGCATCAAAAATTTATCAGACGCCAACTACGACGCTAATCTTCATTTTTCCCGTAGTGGGAAGTCCTCCCTTCTATCCTTTTACTTACCCTTTCATACATAGGGGAGGAGATTCATAAAATAATCAAGGAAGTACATTCTGCACTAAACATCGTCTCTTTTTTATGTTCTAATGAAAAAGTTGTGAAGTGGATATTACACATTGACGGCTAATATTAGATATTGTTGGCAAATGTTGGATATTATCGGAACGATATCTCTATGGTACACGAGTCAAATGATGGAACCCCAAAATTTTGAGAGGCGCCTTTAAATAAGGAATTGACGAATGCTCTTATTTGTCATGTTGGCTTCCTATGATAACAACCCTGGCGCGAGCGGAGCCCAATTTAAGCTTTTCAAAAAAATGAGAGCAATCAGACTGACAGACAAGCTCGGCTAAACCACTTCAGTGGATGGTTCAATTCAGCCACTTCGTCGGGTGGGCTAATTCACTTCAGCACTTCAATAAGTAGGCTCAATTTAATAAAAGAGAATTCCAGCGAAAACTTCCGTGCACCCATATTTGTGTGTACACATTCAAATAAAATTATTTGAATTTTAAACTTAGTTATGTGATCTAATAATTAGATTATTAACCGAGAGAATGAGAGAATATTCATCATATTGTCTTCAAACAATTAAAACAACAAAAGTAGATGACAAAATACAACCCATAAAATATTTTTTTTTTTATTTGAATGCAAACATTTTATTATGGCTTTATGAGTCTTATGACATATTATATTAATTTGGATGATAACCAACATGTGCTTTGATGAATGTGTGGATTAAGTGTTTCGAGTACATTAATTTTATGGATGTGTAAATTCGAAATCAAATTAAGATTTGGGCATAGAAGAACTCGAGATGGATCAAGATACATAGTTTAGAGCTCAATATAGAATACTTATTTAGAAAAAAAAAAAAAAAAACCTTAAAAATATAATAGGAATTTACTTGAATGATTTATTTTTGTTCACATTCAAATATATTCATATAATTATCTTTTTACTATATTATATAAAAAAGATAAACTTAATTTAGATATCAAATTATTTTAAATATTTAATTATAATTTTAAATTTTGATTTTTTTTCTTGAATACTTCTCACACATTATTAAATTCACTAAAGTAATAAAATTAGTATATTAAAACTAGTAAATCTATTTTAATCTAATATCTTGAAAAAAAACTTATGAATTTTCAAATAAATAATTAATATTTTCTTAAACTTAAATTAACATATTTAATAATTACCTTAAAAATAATAAAATTCTTATTTTCATAAATATGTCATTAAAATCAGAGAATATTAAACTTCTATTACCTTTATTGAATTTACAATTTTTGGTCCATATAATTCGATAGGCTACATGATCTATTTTTCATTTGTATTTAATTTATTTAAGTCTTTCAATTTAGTGTATAGTCATATTGTATTTAGATTGGCTTATACTCAACCGTGTAAGAGACGAATCACGTTAGGCTGCATGTAAAATTCATGTACAAATAAATAGATTGCAAGAAATCTATGATGCTTCACCATGATTCCAACATAAAAGTGTAGATCTTGTGGAGAATAAATGTAACTCAAATGGTGGCACACGCAAGCAATCATTATATTCTAAAGATGCCACATTCAGACGAAAAAATATGCGAGCTTTGGAGGTCACTGTAGGCCGACATCCTGCCGTTGCCTTGCGAGCTTGCCGGAAAGTCCTTGTAAAGTCGGAACGGTTGACAGAAGCGAAAGGAGAGCGGTGGACAAGAGACTTGGCAAGGATTGGGTAGTATGTCTGTAAATACCGAAGTATAGGGTGTTAGATACAAAATTTAATAAGAATTTGGTGGTAATGTAAACCCCCCTTCTGCTTCTGCTCAAAACAGTGGATATATGGGATACTAAAATACCATTTTTCACTTCTCCAATGAAGTATGTTCCAAATTTTGTGTTGGATGGCTGCTTTGCTACCTCACATGGTGGGTTCCATTCTCCTGCAGCTTGATCTCTATATGCCCAACTTAAATAATTAATTTCTTGCGTGTTAGAAGCGCTTATGAAAAATTCATGCATTTTTTGCACTATTTTTTGCAATAAAAATCTGTGATTTCAAGACTTTCTGCTGGCAGTTTGTTTTCATTTGCAATTATTGTTTGTCTATATGTTAATGGTAATTTGTTTCCTCATCTACCTCTTATTCCCATGTCCTCGTTTATGCTTTCTATTGTAATTGTTTTACACGTAACTTTTACCTTACAATATTGTATTCTATAAAGATATTATGTAATCTTACTCTTTTTACAACCATTTATATAGCCTAAAGCTGAAACAAATCATTGATTTTCAACCTCATGTTTGTAAGTAATTCATGTGGCTCAAGCCTATGTGAACATCACCTTATATGCCTAATCATCTGCTAAAATCTAATATTTTTTTTCATATTATCTATAATTTATAAGTGTTTTGCTTGTTGCTTCTTGCAGAGGGCATTAAGAAAGCGACAGTTGCTTTGGTTTGAATATATACCATATAATATGGGTCTTTCAATATTGTAAATTAATTACAAAATTTGTCTATTTATTTGGATGAAAATTTGAGGCACTTGAGGTACTTTCCATTACAACATGAAATATTGGTTTTGGGATATTTTCTAATCCTTAAATTAACTTTGGTCTATAGATAAGACACTCTCCCTCCCCTTAGAAATAGTAAATTTTGAGCACCAAAAAAATATACAAAAAAAAAAAAAAAATCTTAAAATATCTTTAATAAAATTCTCAAAATACAATGTCAAAAAGCTGCAACTAAGCCTACATCATGAATTTTCTTTATGCAACAAAAAATTTTGCTTCATAACTTGATAGACAACTTTTTATTTTCCTGCATGCAGGCATAATTGAAGAGTGGTCCTAAGGTTCTTAGATTTTTGTTTATAAGATTTTGTCTGCATTTTCTCTATGAAATCAGAGCTTTAAAATAGTTATTAGCACTAATATGCTGAAAGCAAGCGTTAAGTCCTTGAATCAACTTGTGAGTAAAGCTCCACTCCAGACAAATTCAAATATATTGAAAATGGATTATAAGTTGAATTACAAATATTTCAAAAATATTACTCCGGATTCCATTTTTCTCAAACCAAGCACTAAGTTTCATCCAAACAGACTTTTATTTATGAAATACTCTCAAAATTCATTATTTACACAGTCCAGGTTCCCTTTACAGCCCGATGTCTCCGTTCAGATTCTTATAATTAGATGTACAATTAGATTGATTCATAACCGGATTTCAGGAGAGGTTGGAATGAAAGCAAGTTAGTGTCGGTGCTTGGCAGCACTTTTTTTTTGAAGAGATGACAAAGAGTTAGATAAAAGATGAGTCACAGACATATATTTAATGTAGAAAATTTGTCATAGTGCAGAACTCGAAGGAATGCTGAAATTTCTGTTCATACATTATACAGGATAAGCTAAAACATTAGAACGTGAATAAAAAAAAACTAATGCTGGAGGGGATTTGATTCAGGAACTTCGATTATATTGTATGAAATGATTTTATTTTAACTAATTTCTTTGTTTGAATGATGACTTTTCATCATGGAATGCAAAATCAAAGGCCTGGTCGATGCCCTTGTAACAACCTAATATTTTCTCCAAATCATAAGGGTTAAAACTTATTGATCATGATAAAAAATAATACATCAACAATAGGATGACACAGATCCTGAGAAGATTTAACAATCCAAAAGAGAGGAAGTATAAAAAGGGGGGCTCGACGATAGAATATTAGCAAACCCATTTATACGATCGAACATAGTAGTCCGAACTAAAGTTCAAGGCCAACTGAGCCATGAGAACATCAAAAAGAATGAATGAACGATCCAAATTTAAACCAATTAGACCAAAGCAAGATAGATAAGCATCAAAGCTTATCAATAAAAGAAAGTCGATCGAATGCATCAATCTACTTTCCGGTAGATCCGACATGAGGAAAGAATCATGTTACTCACTATCACCAACCGTCCCACGAACACTCCCTAGGTTCCTCATCATGGACCATGAATCTCAAATACAATAAAGTCTTATATTCACCCCACAGGCTCTCATTGTCGAAGAACAAACTATCTATCGGGTTACGGTGATTCACTCTCTGTACGATAACCTAGTCTAGCCTAGTCAATAGGTGCTCTTCATCTAGGGATCAAGGGTCAACATTCAGATTAAGATCAATTGATCGACTAAGTCTAACTGCCAAATTAGTCCTCTCAGCCGACCGGTGATGACGACTTAGCCTAGTTGATTGGATGGACCTTACAAAACCAAAGCCATACTAGCCCAACCAACCAAGACACAGAGCAATTGAGCATTAAACTCACATATGTAAATACCTAGAATATCATATATAACTCCCATTAAAGCAAAGACATAAATGTAATAGCACTATATTGTAGCATATCTCTTATAAATATGGAGATCATTTTATGAATAAGAGAGATAGACAATGTGTAATATTATTCATTATTGCTCATTCATCTCGCTTCCTCATTTCCTACGCTATATTCCTTGGGTATGGTTTATAGGCAAATCGAGATTCAACATTCTAATAGGTTTGGTGAACTTGGATCATGCTACAAGCAAAAAGAGGACAAACACGTAGAGAATATACCTATAACTGAGAAACTCATAATATGGAGTGCACAAGAGAATTCGTAAACAAGTAGATACATAAGTCGAAGGATTAAATGTTGGATGTTATCTGAGAGGCACTGGCTTGGGGAGGGAGCAATGTCCCCCAGAGAAAGGTCTGACGCCCAACAGTCAAAGAGTACCCTTAGCTTTGGACAAAGGAGGAGACTCCCAAAACTTTGACATTGTTCGGTCAGAATGGATCGACAAGCATTGGTTCAGGAGTACTGAAGCGCTACAATAGCTAAAGAATGCATTATATCCACAAATCTTTAAGGTCCAGCCCTCAAAGAGGTTCAAGATCCTAACATTGGAGTCCTGTAGGGCAAAAATTATCCAATCAACCACATAGCCACATTTGAGTCGAATGTGTGACTATTGAGGATCTGACGCACTTAAGTGTCGCCTTTTATTCACCATTATGAGAGAGTCAACTTTTAGGTGGTTCAACTCATTGTTGTCAGGCATAATCGTATTGTTTGCTGACTTCAAGTGAATGTTCGTGGTGTAGTTTGCTGGAGCTCATAAGCCACAGAAGAATTTGCAGGCTCTCCTTCATATAAAATAAGGGCATAACGAGAGACTTCGCTCATTCATTCCTCACTTTCTGAAGGAGATGTTGGAAGTGTGGAATTTGGAACCCATAGTAGCTCATGTTGCCCTAGCTCAGGAGCTGAAAGAAGGAACTTTCTAGTATGATTTGGGTCTGTAGCGACCGAAGACACTTTGCCGAGTTGTTAGAGAAGGCCAACAATCTTATATTTGCCAAAGCATATACCTTCACCCCTCTTTTCTCTATAGGATAATCTTTCACCCATTGCTCACGGAAGAGGGCTCCCCAAAGTGACAGGCGGAGACTGAGAGATGACTCATGCCCTTCCGTCCATTCACAGTACAAAGACATTTGGTCACCCAAGACCATAGGATGACTGATATAACTTACAACTGAGGAAGTGAGGCTCAATATCTCGACCAACGGTTGGCTTGGTACAACAAGCTCTCTTTTCCCAACCATGAACTGTCAAAAATGATATCGTTGAGAGTCTTGATGGTTGAGATAATAGAGGTCATCGAAAATAAAGAGTACTTTAAGTGAGTACCCCCAATGAAAATTGGAGCTTACCTTCAAGACCTTAAGAAATACTATGTCTATTACCAAGACCTTGATTATGACAGAGAGGAATGCTGGCAAAGCCAAAGCCATGCGAGGAGATGATCAAAATTGAAAAACGAAAGGAGTTTATAGCTCTAGGAGCAATGACCTAAAGACAAGGAAAAGCTCGGGTAGAGAAAATTTTTGACAAGCCAATATGAGCCCACACCATTCATATTATTGACATAGCTCCGGTTATCTTTGGAGAAGGAGTCTCGTCCTATCGAGCCAGTTTAAAGAGTCTTTAGTTAGGAGAAATATGTTTAGCCACCATCGCTCTTCGCCGCAGCTCACATTTCCCATCGCCTTCAGTGACAAGGACCTGCCCCCGAAAGGGAACCCTTACAGTGACGTCATTGTCATTACGTCATTGATCAACAACTACCAGATTTATAGCAATCTCATCGACATTGGTGACTCCACAACCATTATGTTCAAAGCGATGCTCGAAAACATGAGTCTTGGAAATGATCAGTTGACTACAACAATTGTCCCACTCTACAACTTTTCTGGCGAGATGAGGGAATCATTGGGGACCATCACCTCGCTAGTTACCTGAGGAAAAATGATAAACAATTTATTAACATGGAGGGCTTCTTAGTGATTGACTTGCCTTCAACTTATAACACCATCTTCAACCACCCCATGCTCAATTCTTTCAAAGTTGTTAACTTGATTTATCATGTTCCAGTGAAATTTTCGAGTGATGGAGAAGTGATCACCATCTGAGGCAACTCAAAGCAACCCCGCATCTACTATCTTTGAGTGGTCGTAAGCATTGATCAACAAACACTTCAGCTCAAACTTCTACTTAAGGGTGGTTTTGAGACCATTAAGACCACAAATCAAATTCTGGCGACTGAAGGCAAGCCTAGTAACATTTTTCTAATAATAAAAGCTTTTGATGCAGGGTCAAAAGATACGCTAATCAGAACCCTCCGAGACCACCTAGATGTTTTTGCCTGATCTGCAATCGAGATGTCAGAGGTTTTAATTGACATCGTTCACCATCGCTTGAACGTTAATCTAGTGACTTGACCAATAAAGCAGAAGACAAGGTCCTCAGTGTCACCCTAGCTTTACCAATTCGAGAAGAAGTTCAGAAGCTGCTGCATCAAAAGATGAAAAGTTCCTCCCAATACTGGATCAAAGTCCTTCTTGCACTGATGAATTGATACCTTAACAATATTCTCTCAAAAACCTCACCAAACACTGAAGAAAATGTGATAATCCTACAAACCCTGAGTCTCACTAGAATTTCTTGGCCTTCCTCCACACTTCCTTTGTTTCCCAGATGTTCTTACTGCACTCCGGTGCTTCCCTTCCGATTCTCCTTTCTCCTCCTTGCATAATCCTCTGCCGAACTACTAAAATCCACCAAATAACTCCCAAAGTCGCGGTTCAAAAACTGCAGAAAACTGATGCGCCTTGGTGCTTAGAACTTGGAGCCTAAGTGCCGCCTTCTCGAGTGGATGCACAAAGTTCTGGCGCCCAGAAGCTGGCGCCATGGCACTTGAATGGAGCGCCTTGGCGCCCATAATTTGGTGCCTAGTCTCCAGTTATGTGAAATGCAAGTTTTGCTACATTTAGCTCATTTTTTGCTCCTTTTCAATCTTGCTTCGCTCCAAATGTTCTACATGTTATACCTGCACGAAAAATATAAAAATACATTCTTTAAAGTACAATTTCATCTAAAAACATTTGTAAAAGACGAGGGAAATAAAACATGCTTTAGGACATTTCATCAACAACGATGTATTGAAGATCCAACACTAACATCTGGTGACAATTGTTTACGACTATTATTCAAAATACGATGGTTTTCTCAAGACTATTGAATTTTTTGTACATTGTATATTGACAAACATTGTATTTGTTGTGAAGTTGTAGCCCTGCTCTCCCAGTTATTGGAAAAAATGTGTATTTTATAAAATTATATACTTATAGTGAAATATTTAGACTAACCTACACTCTGTAATTTTTTCCCTTTCTAGGGTTTTTCCACATAAAAATATTTGGTGTCTCCTCTCGCTACCTTCAAATAATCTGTGTGCTGGATCATCGTGCAAGACTAAGACGTTAAATTATTACTCTGACGCCAGCAAATAACAAATCTAACGAGTAATTTTTATAGGTTTATGAAATAGGAATTTCAAAAATCTTTTTGGTTCGCTGCACTTACAAAAAATAACCTTACTTTCCTAAATTTTGGGTTATGCTTTGAAGTAGAATGATAATATTATTCAAAACTCGATGCTTGCATAAAATTTGATTAGAGCAAAATTGCATTAAATAAATTACATAAAAAATTCGTTCATTTACATTCAGACCACTCAATTCCTGTTTAGTTACGTATATAACACCTAAACTTCTATTTTTACATTCATGCCACCGTATGTATGCATGAAAGGTTGTATTTTACTTTTTTAATAGTTAAAATAATGGTATTTTTGATGTGCTGCAAGAATATTTAAGTGTTATAATTGTAAAAAAGCAAAGTTTACATGTTCATTTTCACTTAACGGTATTGCACAATTTTTTTTTTTCTTTCATAAATCTAATACAACAACAACAACAAAGCCTTAATCCCACTACGTGAGTGTCGGCTACATGAATCTTTTTTCTCCATTGCGTCCTATTTAGTGTCATATTTTCATTTAGTTCTAATAAACTAAGATCATTTTTTATACAATAAGCCCAAGTTTTCTTAGATCTATCTCTGTCTTTCTTAACAAAAGTCGAATCTAAAACATATACTCTCCTAATTGGATCCTCAAATGATCAACGTTTAATGTGACCAAACCATCTAAGACAACTTTCTCTAATTTTGTTCGTCACAAGAGCTACACCAACCCTATCACGAATATATTCATTTCGCATTTTGTCTCTTAAGTTAAAATCTAATGTAGGTTAAAATTCTATTTATACATTCTTTCATAAATCTAATGAAAGTTAAAATTCTATTAATACATTCTCGTGCTTCTTATTCTATTTACTTAGCAAATTTTGTGCAATAATAAAGTTTTTTCAGTTCCATATTTAGCAATCCAACCCTGACGATAATGAGAGGGAATCAAATTTTTTCTATATTGATAGAAAATTTGGTTGAAATTTGAATGAAATTTCCGACAAACTCATACAAGTACTGACGTCATAAAAATCCTTAACAAAAATCAAGAGCACATAATACATTTTTTTAAGAGTAACAAATAAATTATCAAACATTTGATTAAAAATATATAACAATGTAATTTTATCTTATAATAAAATTGTTCTGAGATATAACAGTTGTTGTGGTATATATGAATAAAAGAAAATAGGAAAACGATCAACGAAAAGAAAAATAGAACGAGAAAATTTACATCAGAAAACAGTAACACAACAGAACACACATATTTATGTGGTTTGACAAATTGTCTACGTCCACGGAGTTGCATAGGATTTTACTAATATTAGGAATTTACAACAGTCGATCGTCTCGACTTACAAGAGGAATCTCTTACTTCGTTGCTCTCTATTCTTCTATCTTTGTTCTTCTCTCTCTACACCGAAATACATCGAAGAAGATAAACTTACAAGATAAATAAATTTAATTTCTCTTCTGCCATAAGCCGCCAAGAAGAAATTAAGGGAGAACAATCTTCTTCTTTATTCTGCTGCAAGAAACTACTGTTTGCACTTCTCTTCTCTATCCCGAGGAAGCCTAAAGAGCTCTTCCTCTATCCCGAGGAAGCCCGAAAAGGAACTCAAAAGTGGCTATGCTTAATCTGAAGGAGAATCGTCTCTTCTTCCTTTCTTTCGAACCGCACGCACGGCTACCGAACAAATGGTGCGGACGTTCCTTTTATCGCAACTGAGAAAGACGGATGGAGGGAACAGTTGAGCGGGAGCGGGAAGCGGAAGTTGCGACGTCGATCGGGGAGGCGAGAGCGGGAAACCAGAATCGAGGTCCAGCGATAACAAAAATTATGTAGTAAAAAATTTTTTTTTGTAATAATAATACAAGTAAATTATAGTTTTAACCAGATGTTATTCTAATGTGACATGTTCTAACTATCTAATGGTTCCAAAATCACTTTCTTGGCCAGCAAAAAGAAACCCAAAACCAATAATGAAAAAAATCATAGAGCCATCACAGCCACAAGTACTCTCCATGCATGTCTTGCAAAGCGCCAAGCGGCAAACCTGGCAAGAGCTGCATCTTCACGTGCTTTGTCTTCCCACAATTCCCCTACTTAGATTCCACTCATCTTTCTCTCCTATAAGAGAAATCCTATGTTTTCACTCTCTGCAACAGCTACATCAGTGAGTTTTAGATGAAGAGATAAGCTAGCTAGCTAGATAATAGTAATTAGCAGAAGGCGCCATGGATTCCTCCTCCAATGTCTCAGTTCTTCTCCTCATTCTTATCCTCTCCTTCTCTTCCTCTTTCCAGGTTGCCTTTGGTTGTGGTGAGTGCCCGACGCCCACAACCCCCAAGCCAGCTCCCAAGGAAGGGCCGATCACCCTCCCTCCCATCATCGGAAATCCGCCTGTAACATTACCTCCTATCATTGGAAAACCGCCTGTAACATTACCTCCTATCACTGGAAAACCACCCATCACTCTTCCTCCCGTCATCGGAAAACCGCCTGTAACATTACCTCCTATCATCGTTAAACCACCCGTCACCCTCCCCCCTATTAACGTTAAACCACCAGTTACCCTCCCCCCTGTCATCGCTAACCCTCCGATAACCAAACCTCCGGCGACTGGCACGTCGGGCTGCTCTCCACCACCAGCTGCCAAAAAAACCTGCCCTCTAGACATCTTAAAGTTCGGAGCTTGTCTGGATCTCCTTGGCAATGTGATTCAGATCGGAGATCCGACTGTTAGCGAGTGCTGCCCGCTCATCAAAGGCCTCACAGGGATTGAAGCGGCCGCTTGCCTTTGCACCACCATCAAGCTCAAACTTCTTAATATCTACGTGTTATATCCCATTGCCGTTGATCTACTGATAAGTTGTGGCAAGACGCCGCCTCCTGGCTACACTTGCTATTGATCGAGTCCAAAAGATGGACCATTTGTATCCTATTTTGTAGTAAATTTGTTGGTTTTAAACTATTCCTCCAAGTGATGTAATATTAGTTAGGTGTTCTGATTGTGCTATGTTGTTGCATTTCTGCGTTTGATTAATGTCAGTCATGTAAGGTTCATAAACTTGTCTTATTTGGTAATTAAAGAGCAGCAATTGTTGTTCATATAAGATGATTTGGTTTTGCTGATAAGGCACAGTGAAGGGGGCGGCAGTCGGAAGATACTTGTTTTGGTAATTACTTTGGCTAAAATGTAATATGAATAAGAATTATTTTCCAGAAGAAATATTCATTGTTTCATGAAATGGTTTATTTAAGCATATAATTCCATTTGTATGGATTTATATTGTTATCAAGTTTATTTATGCTTCCACATGTTCTAATATAATGTGGGAAAAATACTTGCGTTAGTGATTAAGTTTTGTGCGAGAAATAATGGAAAAAAATCAATTTTATTTCATGTAATGTTGTATTTAAACATATCCTTAAATGTTAAAAAAAATTAATTTTTCAAATCGATGTCTTTATATGATCTAAACTATGTCGAAAAAACGTGTTAGTAATTAGATTGTGTGCGAGAAAATAATGGTTATTGTAGAATTTTTATTTTTATATTAGATTTGATGTTTTCGAAAGACTATTGTGATTGTTACACATAATGGTTTGGAAACGTCTTGAGTAGCAGACCAACAAAAATTAAGGCTGCCAATACTATGTATGTACCCAATTTTTTGTACAGCTCTATACCTAATGTATGGATCTTTTTGTAAGTTTAGAGTTATAATATTATATTTTTCCTATGTGGAAATTTTGATGGCACATTCTTGGCTCAATGGATATTCCATATCGAAGTGCATAGCTTCCGTCCTGCTGTGCAACACATTAGTTGAAAATAAAGCAAAGAGTCCTAAAGGGTCGTGTTTAAGTGCTCATCTGGCTTGAAAAATAAAATTGGTGTCACGATTGTTTCATTTATAATTTATTAGATATGCAATAAAAAGTTCTTTGAAAATAATCAAAGCAAGTGATTTATAGAGAAAAAATTTCCCCCTAAAAATAATGTTTTTGACAAATTTTAATGTTATCATGAAAAATTAGTTTTTTTGCTGATTACAGACAAATTTTTTAAGTGTTGGCTGTGTCAATCAACTTTATGACTGAATCTCAATCAATGTAACTCCCTTTCAATCATTTGGATCAATTACAAATGTCATATATAAATGTAGTAACTCTATTATGGTCTTAATTGATTTTTTGGCTTTGCAACAAGCAAAGACATCTCAACTACTACTGCCTTCTTTTCCTTCTTCTTCCATCATTTTTTTGCCAAAATTATCACTCGAAGGTTACCAATACCATGAATCTCGCCCTTCCCTAAAACTAGAAAATAGAACTTGGAGAAGATGGAAAAAGAACGAGAAGAGTATGCTCTACAACAATTTTGAATTATTCCTAGACTTATAAATAGGATTTTAGAGTATGGAAAAGTGTGATGACTCATTTGTTTTGCCTCATTAGATCATCAATCAAGATTTTAATTGAAATTTATCTATGTAAGTTTGTCAATACTAGTTGGTAGAATTCGAAACATGAACTACTATGGGCTATCAAAAACTTACCCAAGTCATTCTTATACTAAAAAACACTTGTGTTTCACCTCTTTAACAAGTCAAGTATGGGAATTCTTACTATATTGCATGAGAGTTGTCACTGACCCTCCTTTTTTTTAAATTTATGTCAGTTTGATCAAGAAGAAAAAACTCACATGATTAACTATCTTTCATCCTTTCTACCAATACCATTTATCTATGCCAAATTCGATCAACACCTTGAATTGAACACTAAGATTTTTTATCTTTTTTCTTATGCATTCATAACCATTACTTTCTAGTCCAACAACTCAACACGTGTCATGTGCCCACAACAACCATCAAACAATAAACACGTATAAAGAGTATCCCCCACTATATTATAATATCTCTATATCACATCTGCAATCCACTCTCAAAAAATCCATTAACTGTCAATCATCTAGTCATTTGATGTTCACCATTTAACACTTGTTCACCTTTAAGTTTGTTGGATGAACCACATCCTTTAGTGCCATTAGATCAATTAGCATGAGATTTACCCTTTGCTTTTGGCATTAACACCATCTCAAACTAGGATTCTAGCTAAAAATATCTTCCCTTGAGCATTTTAAGAAACATATATTATAATTTTAGGTAGATTTTTGTAGAGATTATTTTTTATTTTATGTTAGGAGATGTCTGGAAATGTATTCAGAGTGATTGTAGACTTTTTATAATTTTGAGATCATATGATTAATGGGCCCAATAATTACAAGACAAAGACCTTAATTATATTTATTTTTTGTCGGTTTTTTCTTCTTCTTTTCTACAACTTAAAGAGAGGTTATGTTTGGATTTATGAAGATATGAGTACTATTTGGAAAACTTATGATGTTAGGTTTAACATTTGAAGGTTTGCATATTATTTATGTGGATATATATTTTTAAGTATGGAAAGTAAAGCACATTTAATTAATTGAGTTTTAAAAATTTGTCTTGGACTAAAAATTTAATGAATAACAAAATGAAGAGTGTGACAAATCAAAGGGTTGCTCCAAATAAGCTCAATCTTAAACTAATGAGGATAAATACAAAAAGAAATGATACAAAAAAATGATAAGCATTAAATCTAACACCGAAGAGGAAAGACCAAGCTTCTGTTAAGAAGAATGATAATACTTTTCTTAAAAAGATGAAAGTTGACGAAGAAGAGGATGATAAAGACCACCCACGAAAGCTTACTTTATCTTTAAACTATCTTCTGTAAAGCTTAAGCGTTATTGATCTTATTTAATACTTTTTGGATTATGAAAGACTACATATAAAACCTTTAAAGAACTATAAGAAATTGGTAATGCATGTTAAGTACTTATAATACTTTGATGTCATACATTTATGCATAAAAATGTGTATTTCATTTTTAAAAAGATAACAATATTTTTTTTATATGACGTAAAAGATTTGTGTGGTATGTACTTAAATATGAATGTTTAATTGTTAGGAGTGTAAAAAACATCAGAATTGTGTGGTATGCATGTAAATGTTTTTCCATACAGAGTACGTACATAACTCTACGTGCGGACTCCAGTAATATGTCGCCATGTGTTATATATCGGGCCCATCTAAAAAAATTAAATTAGAACCGCGAATGTTATTTGGGAGAGTTATTGGGGGATTATTGAGGGGTTATTGAGGGCATTAACTCCAATAAAGCCGCAATAATCTTTGAACAATCCTTCAATAACTTTTGTGGTTCCACTCCAATAACCCTTTAATAACCTCCGCGGTTTCATTTCAATAACCCCTGCATTAACCCCTCCAATAACCTCTGTGGTTTCAGGTCAATTATCCTACAATAACTTCCACATGATGACATATTACAGGAAATCCACTTCATAAGGAAAATTTTCCCACAAGATAGAGTTTGAACATAGATCGAGCTTTTCCCACTTGGCTGGTTAATTTATTAATATAAACACCCAAAAACATTACTTATACTCTAATAAAATTATAAAGTATACAAATTCTTTTTAAAGTATGTCATGTTTAGCGATTTAGGTAAATAAAAATTTGTTTTTGATTAAATAGTTAGATATTTTTAAACATAACACTTTTTTTTTTTAATTTATAAATCTGACCTTTGTTCTTTGTTTTTTGTTTTTTTTTTTGCTTTACTAAGAACATGCATAGTTGTATGTTTCATGATTGAAATTTCAACAAATTTGGGGTTTATTGTGAATTTTGATATTTGGGTAGAATGTGAAAGTAGGTGAATGTTATTTCTATAAATATTCAAAGTTTAAATATAGTGTATAAAATTACCTCATAATTATGAAATTTAACTTCGTTTTGTACACTTGTTGAAGCTCGTAAAATGGCTTCATTTTATTTTCGAAACATTTATTTGATAGGTTTGGAGATTTTGGCACTGTAGAAAATTATTTTGACAGTGTCCTCGTGCAAAATTTTCTGGAGTGGTCCATGGAAGCTTTTGGACTGCAACTTTATTTTGTCTAAGAAGCTAGGGCCTAGTGTAGAAATAATAAAACAAAAACTTAGAAGCAAATTAATATTCAAATGTCATGAAAAAATTTTGTTATTTGACATGAATACATTTTTCCATGCAAATTAATGATTATTCAGAGCTCCGATTTAAAATGCTTATATTTAAATAGACTGTCTCGATGAGTCGAACCCAATGATGTCAAAGTTGACTTAATCCAAGTTCGATCAATCTCAGATTAAGTCATTGAACCATATTTGGAGGCTTTAGATAGTTAATTAGAGGGTCAAATGAACTCTAAATTTGACATATAATAATCAAGTCTAGCATCACAATGAAAGGAATCCAACGAGTCAAAAATCACTCAATTTTGAGATTATTAAGGTTGGGGGATACCGAAAGTCAGGGGAGATTGGGACTCCAAACCACCAGGACTTTGTCCTAGTGTTCACAATGGGAATCAGTTGGCTCTATGAGAGGTCTGACTACACACTGAATTCCTATCCTAAGGCCTTCTCTAGAAAAGCAAAGACCAAAGCACAGGAAGGTGGCCGTGCAGACTCATCCCATGTGGGCGGCCGAGCCCACACGCCTAAAAAAAACTAACCATAAGGCTAGCTAAGAAGGAAAGCATGAAGAGTTAAAGGAGGTTATACCATTGCGGTGGTTGCTCATTGTCCAATGAAGTTTGAGATGAAGCTCTCCCAACAGTAGAAGAGAAGCCCACGATTTGGACCGATGGTGCTCCGGTGTTGCTTCTTCAAGCCAACATGAAGCTATCCCCTAGGAAGTGAGTTTGACACAAACTCTAAAAGTTCTTCTCCCTAAGTGAAGATGCTCTCCTCGAGAAAGAGACTTCGACAATGTAGCGCATTGAAACTCCTCTTCTTCTCCTGTAGGCAAGGAAATGGCTAGAAGAGGGAATGAAGAAGAAGGAGAAGAAATTGAAGAGGAGGTGGAGGAAGAAGGTGAAGCTAATCTCTCCTCTGAAAATCCCTCACAACTTTCTCGAGGCTCTCCCTTAACCCTCTTAATGAAGTTTGATCGACGGGTTAAGCTCAAAACATCCCCTCGAAAATGAAAAAAAAGCCACCATTAGATGCCCAAGAAGCTTCTAAAGTGAGGGAAAAGTGGTATTTTGCATCCTCTTTTCTCACCCTAGGGACCAACATCACGCGTTTTGCCATTCCGACACATCAGGAGTCAAAAGGAAGCCCAAAATAGTCACTTTTATGTCACCCGGGAAGTGTCTGGCGTCTAGACGCTTGAACCATGATGCCTAGGCGCCTGAACTCGGGATCCTAAGTGTTAGTATGGCACCATGACGCCAAACTCCTGTTGTCTAGGCGCCAAGTATGATGTTTAGGTGCCACCCAAGTGGTGCCATACTTCGTGGCTCTCGGGTTATGGGCTTTTTTATGCTGTTTTTGGGCACCTAGTTGTTCGGTATGGCGACCAGGCGACATGGACATTAAGTCAGACTTCCAACTTCTCTTGTTGGATGTCCAAGAAGCGGTTTTAGGCACATAGGAACCCCAGGTCGTCGTTGGGGCGCCGATCTAGCCTAAAAGATTGATTTTCACAGAAAGCACAAAAAACAAAGAATTTTCTCGAAACTTAAGACAAGAGAGACTCCATATAAGTGACATGTGATCCCATAACTCAAATACGAAGCATTCTTGTCGGTCATTCACCAAAAAAAATGTTGCCAACGATTGTCCTAAGCCACGACGCGGGTAGGGTGTCCCGAACCCTAACTTTTCCGTAACGTGTGTAGGGGGATTCTGTGACTTCCTTTTGCCATGGGAGTTTTCAGACGGACATGCGATGACTTGTAACACTAGAGTGAGCACTAAATATGTCCCGGGTGTGTGTCTTGAGCTACCGGACGTTACAGACAACCGCAGACCATCTCGTGTCATGCAGTGGACACCCTACACTCGTGACATCAAAAGTAGATGTCAATACATATTTTTTGGATATATCCATTATCTCTTTATATAAAAGGTCCGGAAAACTCTTTGTTGACTTTAATTCAGATCATAATGTAAACTCTTTATCATAATCCATCTGAAAAAAAAAAAAAAAAAAACATTGCAAACATTATCTCAAGATTTTAGCGTTAAAGACAATTAACTCTATTGCTTATGTTCTCGAAGTGAATCTATTTGGATGTGTCGGCTTTGATTGATGAATAGTCTTATTTTGGCTAACCAGTTTTGATAAAATAGACTTAGAAGGCTAACATTGAGCTGCCTTGTTAACTGAATCCATCCTAATTTGACTATTTTTTCTTTTGGCAGATATAAATGAATTATTTTGTTTTGATAGAATAGCATTGAGAGCTCGGATTCACCAAACCCTAACATGCCACTGCCCGGCCTGGTTAGTCCTCTATCTACTAGTGCACACTGTAAGGATAAAACGGGCGGCAAGCTACCGGCGAGGAAGTGATCAAGAGCAACAGAGACGTAATATAATGGAGAAATATTTCGGGAATGCATATCGCGGTGATCCTGGCGTGCCACACACCGATCCGGAGCGCTTCGCAAACATCTGGATTGGCTCATTCGCATTCTCAGCTCTCACCTTCTTTAACCCATACATGTGGCAGCTCTCCAACCAATTCAAGTTGGTCACTCTATCCTTGTCTCCTCGTTAGGGTTGCACCATATGAGTGTCTAAATCATTATCTTAAACTTTACTGATTTATGTTTCCACACTTTGATGATAAAAAGGAGGAATTTTGAATTATCTCCAGGAACTTTTCAATTTTTGTTATAAATCTTCATGCATCACTGCTTTTGCCTGTTTTCTTAGATCCATTGAAACAGATTACAGTGTGGTTGCCAATCACTTTGCCGTTTGCAATTTATCTGCACTCAGATGAGGGTTTTCTTTGCGGGGTTTTGAAACAATCCACAGAATCGTGTAATGCATGCAAGAATAGCTCCATCATAAATTTCTCATTGCTGTGAACCTTGATTTATTTTTTTGTAAATTTAACTCTTTTGTAGTTTAACTTGTTGAAAATGCAAGTCAGTTGTTATCCACCTCAACATTCATGATCTGGTAAAGATAATCTTGTAAAGACTAAATGAAGACCAGATGAAAGAATTGAGAGAACTTCTATCTAGAATCTGTGTGAATTCTCTCTCTTGTTGGATTTAGCGTGCACTCCTTATCTTCTCTCTTTTTATGCTTTGTGTATCTACATTTTCATCATTATCTCTTGACAAAAAAATATTTTATCATCTATTAAATTGCAGGGTGTATGGGGTCTCTTAATGTAAAATATGCCTTGAAAATAAAATTGCAACTTAACGTAATGGATTTGCCAAGACTATAAAAATTCTTTCTCTTAATGATGCAATATGTAGTTGTCTCTGTATCAATGATTTTTTCGTTCTTTTTATTTTTATTTTTGTGCATACAACAGGGTTGTTTTTCTTTTTAGTAATCATCCAAGTGCATCTACAAGACAGGGTCAAAAGTACTTAATAGTACTTAGCTTTTTTTTTTAGATTAGGAATAGAAATTAGCAACTTCTTGTATATATCGGAAATTGATTTTATATTGATAGTCAAAACATTTTGTTTGTCTTATGGATTGTGGTACATGTGCACGGGTGTTCATATAAGACACATAGGAGAGTTTTTTAGAAGTTAGATCTTGTTTGGTTTGGGATTGATGATTTCAATTGGGCTGGATTTATCAATTGATGATTAAACTCAAACTCTCCTTAGATAAAATAACTCTAAAAGAAAGTTAATCGATCCGGTTCATTTTTTTTTGGTATGATATTATTGTTATTTTAGATTCCAAGGGATTTGATTGTTCACTTATAATCTCTATATTAGGTTTCTTTTGGTTGTTTGGAGATATAAAACATGTTTTAGCAAATGAAATTATCAGGTTTGAGACATTTTGAAGATGTTTGCACTGTTTAAAGTTAATATTTATTTCTAACCATATTCTACGAATTGGCAATCACTAGTAAATTCATTTTTAGAAGTTAGATCTTGTTTGGTTTGGGATTGATGTTTTCAATTGGGCTGGATTTATCAATTGATGATTAAGCTCAAACTCTCCTTAGATAAAATAACTCTAAAAGAAAGTTAATCAATCCGGTTCATTTTTTTTGGTATGATATTATTGTTATTTTAGATTCCAAGGGATTTGATTCTTCACTTATAATCTCTATCATTATTATTAGGTTTCTTTTGGTTGTTTGGAGATATAAAACATGTTTTAGCAAATGAAATTATCACGTTTGAGCTATTTTGAAGATGTTTGCACTGTTTAAAGTTAATATTTATTTCTAACTATATTCTACGAATTGGCAATCACTAGTAAATTCATTATTTACAAATGAGCCGTTAGTCTTATTCCAACAATTTGTGATCTTCATTAGAAGTTCTTCTCCTTTGTTCATTTCTAGGAAATGCTACATGATGCATTAATTCTATTCTATGCAAATCTTTTTTTGCTCTCTTTTATATTATATTTGATGTACTGCTTTTGTCCTCTAATGCTTCCACATTTAGTTTTCTTAAAAACCAAGGATTAATTTAGCTATGATTGTGAGTTTCTTGGCGAAATGTCGTCCAATTTGAGATGAGAAAATTCCGGCTTCAAGAGTGTTTGGTAAGTTTTGGATATTAAATATAATAATTTCCAAACAAATAGGGATTTCATTTTAAAAAAATATCTTTTGTAGTTTAAGCCTACAACATTAGTTCTTTGTTCCTTTTTTATTGTGATTTGTGGAAATGAAGCTCTTTGTTCCTTCAATTAAAATTTCATTTCTATTCTTTTCCTATTTGCATTTATGTGTCTGACTGTGATTTTGTGGCACATATCAAGCACAAGTGCCATCTCTTACAAATAAAAGAATGAAGTATCAAATAATCGCTATATGTAGTTTTTGTCTCAGATAATAAGAAATTTGAGACCACAATACTGATACTCACTCAACATTGAGTTTTCTTGATTGCCATATCTACAGTAGTAAGGCATTAATGAAACTTACGAGTACTCTCAGTGAGTTTTTACTGTGTACAGTGCTTGAATATAGCTAACTAAATTGCTTGTGATATTTCTCCAGCGTTGCCACTCTTTAGTTTTTATTTGTTTGCCCGCCTGCAAAGTTTAAAAATAATATGTTTGATATATTTAAGCTTATTGGTTCACATAGTTTTACTTTCTACCATCACTATTTAGATATATTTATTTTTAGGAAGATTTACTCACATACCACTCAATTCTTCTGTGTTTACATATCTAACACTCAAACCTCAATTTTTATATAAATTCCACCTTACCTATACATGAAAAGGTTATTTCACATTTTAAAAATTAAAATAATTGTACTTTTGATGTTATATGAAAGATCTAGATAGTAGAAATGTAAATAGCAAAGTTTTGGTGTTAGATATGTAAGTACAATAGAACTGGGTGCCATCTTATCCATTTAAACGCTTTTTTGCTTAATTTAATGGTTAAATTAAGCAAAAAGATCTAAAGATGTTTACATATCCATGTAAATGCCCCTTATTTTAATGGTTCCGCTTTTTTGCTTAATTGTTAGAAGTGGCACCATCTTATCCATTTAAACGCTTACCTATTTCTTCTGGATCAAGCATTTTTAATATAGCTATAGGGATCAAGCATTTAGCTATAGTGTGGTAAATGTGATATTCTTTTCTAAAAAGATCACTTCTAATTTTTTTATCATAGTTTCATGTTCACTTTTAATATTTTAATTTGATCTAATTGGTTTATTACAGTAATATAATTGGTTGGTGTAATTATATCTTTAGTTGTGCTATAAGAAACTTAAAATCTTCATGCTATTATTTTTCAAAATATCTGGTCATCTTATCTGGAGTATATCTTGAATGTTTCCTGCAGCTGGCATGACAAGGCCATGTTATTTGAACAATACCATTGGAAGAAAGCCAAGGAGAAAGGGGAGCCATATCAGTTCAAGGTATACTTTTGACCCCTTACTAAGACCTTTTGTTGCTGTAATTTGTGCCCTGGAGCTTTCCCGACGTTTCTCACTAATTAGAAGATATATATGCTTGAAATTCTTGTAGTCCGAATTTTCTTCATGTAATTGTAGAAGTTTGTAAACGATTCTAAAGATATTGATAGCAACATTTCTATGGCTTTTATATTATTGTTTGCATTGAAAGCCTTTGATAACAATTATTGAAACAAAAATTTAAATTATATATAAAATGTTGTATATACTTTATTTCTTAGTTTTTGAAGATTTCAAATTTATTTATATTTATATCATATTTTCTATTTTTGTATGTCTTTTTTATATTAGAAATTGGGAACTTTTTACATGGGGCCATTTTAGTCCCATAGTTTATGAAAGTGCTAAATTAATTCCCAGACTTTTAATGGTGGGTATATTCGGCCTTATTACTGACTATTTCAACCCATATTTAAAAATAAAAGAATCTGAGGTCTAAATTGAGACTTTTTTAGACTCTGGGACCGAAACAACCTTGTACAAAGAGTCAGGCGATCATTTTGACATTTTTCTCTTTTTTTCATTATTTGAATTAGTAAATATCTTTTTACAAAACTTTGCTTAGAGAAATGGGATGAATTAAAGACATTTCTTGCTAGAATAGAACATTGTCCTTTACCTTCACATCACTAGGAGGCTGGGAATGTACGTAAACGATATCCTTTTTTTTTTTTTTTGGGTATTTCAATTGGCTTCTTGGTTTTATCTAGCATTACTAAGGCGTAGATAATAGGATAGCTATTGATATTTGTACACTAGTATTATTGAGATTAATTATTTATTTGTTGTATAATCCATTAATTTTTTGATATACTATTAATTATTTGAATAAAAAAAATCATGAATGAATAATCTATATTTTTGCTTGACAAAGTTTTTTAAATTATGCTATTAATAAATTTTATCATTGGGCTCACAAAAATTTAATTTGATAATAACAGTTTTTTAGTGCAAGACATGGATCTCAGAACATTCAAAAGGGACTAAATCTATTATTATTTTACCTAATAAATTAATTTAGATATTGGATGTGCGCCAAGTAATATAAGTGTACAATGAAAATGACTATGGTTTCTGGCTATTCATCGACAACAAGATCATGCAATTTGGAGCCAAATGAATTCAAAAAGTTCAAATGAGTTGAATAAATGCAGGCCTATATGAAATGAAGGAACTATGGTTGGTTATATTCCTTATGCATAGGTGCCTCTTTATGCTTGAAGAAGATGGCGATGATAGAGGTAACCCAAGGGGATAAGTGACCCTCCTCCTTGGTACGCCTATTTGTAAGCACATATTGGCATTGTCCTATCGTGTAATTAGTGTTTTATCACATCATTGCTATCCAAACATGTACTTCATCCTACAAGTTTTTGACTTCTGAGGGTTTATCAACATTTACAAATTGACATTTTGCAAGACATTTGCAGCTAATGGTTGCCCTTGTGGAGACAGATATTTTCATGCATGGCAGCATATTCTTGCTATTTTTAAGTGATCCCCTATTTGATCCAAAAATTTTCTTGGAATTGTTTTTGTCAGCTAATCATTGGAATTTTTTTTGTCGCCTTCTCGAGCATGTCGGTGTTTACAACTTCGTGAATTTGATTTACTGATTAGAGGCATTGCCTCTAAAGACGACTTTCAAACTATTGTGCTGACCTCTCACTAGTTTCCCAAGTTCCCCCTTGTTTAGCTGTGTAGTTTGTCCAACCCAAGTAACACTAAGTGTCTAGTCGTGATCCGGCTTTTGGGCGGTCCTGTCATTTGTTTCAAGCTGTGGGTCAATGTATTAGAAAGGGAATTTTCATCTATTTACTTTTATTAGAATTAGGGCTTGACTTTTGTTATAAATAGCTGGTCTTGTGTTGTAGTAGGGGACTTTTGAAATGATATATAAAGATGGCCGTGGACCACAGGTTTCTGGATGGGAGTATGTCTGTATCGCATCGGGTAGTGGCAATTATATATTTTCATCATTGGTGGTGACATCTCAGGTCTCTTTTTTGTCAATTCTTCAGGTGGTAATTTATGTATCCCGATCGTTTATGAGGGTAAGAAGTCTTGTGTCTCATTTCTTTTATTTGATTAGTGAATCTCTTTTGTATTTTCTTTCTTATTTTTCCCTGATTTTCAGTTCTTCCTGTTACCGTTTTTTGGTCTTGGCATTTTCTCTCTATTTTCTTGTTGAATCATGCACCCATACCCTTTATCAATGTCATTTTTGGTATCAGAGCTTTACGTTTTTGAGTCCGATTTGTATTTTCTTTGCATAAAAAATACAACATTCTTGTTGTCCGTTGTTTCCTGGGTTTTCAGTTTTTTTGTTTACTAATCTTTTTGCTGTTCTTTTTGTTTCTGACTGTTTCTTTGCCCTTTTTTACGGACCTGTGATTCCTGAATCCTGTCTTTGCATTTTTTTTGTTATTTTCTGAGATTCTTGGTTCTGCATGTGTTCCCCTATGATTCCAATAGGTTCTGCATGGGTTCCCCTATGTTTTCTGAGATTTATTCTCTGTTTTGAATCTGTTTCTTGCTGAAATTCTAGGACCTACAGTGAATCCTGCACCTTCACCGAACCATTCCAACACTGGTTTTCACCTGTATTCTTCATGTTATTCCTATTCTTTCTTATATTTTTCTGTCTTCTGTTATTTTCATGTTCCTTTCCTCTAGCTACTACGAATCTAGCATCCCAGACTGATAACAGAGACCAAAATTTAGCCTCTGTTTAATGTCGACTGTGGACGGCGATTGGTGGCGACAGCTCAGTTTTTACACGTGCAGTTGGCGTTCCATGTTTTGCTAGCCTTTATAGAGAATTATCTCAGAATTCTTTTTCAAAATTTACAATTGCTGTTGTTCTTGCTGTTACGACCGTGAGGATTCATTCCATGAACCCATTATTTGAAGAGAACAAAAACTCTTCTCCTTGCTTTTTACTCCTCTTCGGCTGATCCTAGATGTGCCTTTACAAAGAGCTATTGCAAGAACCAATCAAGTATTCATTCTGAATCTAGTCGAGGCAGATGTTTATCTGAAGATGAAGAGGAAGCTCCACATACATGAGGAGAATGACACGGAGTGTTTAGTCATGGTCCGGGTTATGTGTGGTTGAGCCATTTGTTTTAGGTTGTGCGTCAACGTATTGGTAACTATTTTTTTGTCCATTTACTTGTAACTGATTTAGGGCTCGAGTTATAACTAGGGTGTCTTGTATTGTATTAGAAGACTTTTGAAATGATGTAGAAAGATGTGAGAGCTTGGGCTCCGTAGGTTTCTGGATGGGAATATGTTTGTATCCACAGCTTTGGGTGGTGACAACTATATCCCTTTGTAGTTGGTGGTGACATCTCGGGTTTTTTTTATGCGTCAACCTTTCGGGTGGTGATTTATGTATCCCGGTTGATTACGAGAGTTGGAAACTCTTGTATCTTATATCTTTTATTTGATTAGTAAATTTGTTTTGTATTTTATTTCCTGTTTTCCATGATTTTCAGCTTTTTTATTTCCGGTTTCTATTTTTTGGCATTTTCTCTTTATTTTCTTGCTGAATTCTGCACCCATACCGTTACGATTATCAATCACTTATGTTGAGGGAGTGTGATCTTATTCTTTCTTTTTTAACAAGAATAATTTATTTTAATATATTCTAAATAACCAACAAAATATCCTTTTTCAAAATCTATAAATAGATGATAATTCTATTTATTTTGGATAATCTGAATTTTTGGATCATTAAAAAATTCTTGAGTTCTAATTTTGCATTAAGTTCTCATTGATTGTCTGTTATATTTTTCTGAGTCATTTTATCTCACCTCTAGAGGAAGGACCTACCCAATCACCTTCACTCGTTTCTACAATGCTTCTACAACGATTCATCTGCTATCTTAAAGTCATGATGCCTCCATATCCGGAAGGAGAACCATCTTGCTTGCTCTCAATTACCTCCATAACCTTTCAATGCCGCTTTATTCATCACCTTTAGATCTTGCTGCCCAAACCTATTGGAGATGATCAACCCAACCATCCTTTATGGCCTTATTGTGTCTCAGCTCTTGCCACCACCATCACCAGAAGGAGATTTTTTTCTAATTACTCTGCTTTCGACGTCGACATCTTTAGGAGTTTAGTTTGGATTGCCCTCAATCGTCAACACATCCTTTATGTCCTAGCCATTATGTGTTGCCTGCCCGGCTTTTAACATCGCTCATTCACCACCTTTATGTTTTAGTGTCTTCAACCATGTACTGATGATTTTCTTAGTAGGTGATATTATTGTCTCACCAACACTACTGATCCTATCAATAATCTACTCTTGCTTTGGTTTGATGTTTCCAAATTTGAGAAATGATGATCTTTTGTACTCATATCTACTAATAGAAACTATTTAATTTGGCTAGATCTCATTCACTAAAAGTTTCATTGTATTTTACGTAACTCATTGTGTGCGACTCGTCGTTCGGAGCCAAGCTGTTTGAGATTTATCTCCCAGTCTACTTCTAACACATAATTTTATATAATTTTATATAACCCATTGATGAAACTTTTGCCTGAAGTGTTTGAAACCCAGTTATTTTGCTTTTCCTCAACACTGACATCTGAATAACCCTTTTGTTTCTGATTTGTATTGTTTGCAAACCACAACTGTGATGCGGCTATGAAAAATGGATGAAATTAGACTAACTATTGTACTTAAATTTCCTTCAAATCATTCAGGCAAAGAATAACTATAGGTTTGTTTTCCTTTCGAAAAATTTATTTCATATTTCGATGCAATAGCTCAATTGTTTTCTTCTTCTTTCTTTACAGTGGAACCAGTACATGAGCAAGCCGCTGCGTGACTCATACTACATCAATTGGCCCGTTTACTTCCCATAGAAATATCAGTGCTAGTTCTTCCTTGTGGTTAGATCTGTCAATTTGAGTTTGCAAACATGAATCTGTTTTTATGAACAAAAAATGTTCTTTGCTGTATTATGTGAGAAACATTAAAAATTACTTTGTCAGAGTTCCTGAAATTTAGTTAATTGTAATTTTGAATTTATTTCTTTGGTGGAAATCATAGTTAAATCCTTCAGGGGATTCTTTGCCTGCATTATATTTTGAATAAAGTTGAAAATGGTGACAGCCAACTTGCTGTGATTAGGAATATCATACAGGTTTGAATGCAAATGATTCCTAAACCAAAAATGGTCGTCCAATAAATTTAAGTGGCACAATTTGGTTCATGAAATATAATTTTCATTTTTTTAAAATTTTTTCTTATCAATGATCAATCAAAATTTGCTGTGTTTCATGGATTTTATTAGTTTCGTGAAGGAATTTTATATGTTTAGTATTTGCTATGATGCATCTAATTGTATTTTGTTTACTGTTATTGTTATTAATGGTGATGAGCTTAGTTTGGAAAAAACATTCCAATGAAATTTTGCCACATGTAACCAGCGGTCTCACTGAATAAAAAATAAATGTGCTATATTTTAATATATGATCTGGCTCGACCTAGCTTTCTTCGAAAACAAATCCCTTTGCGTTGAATAAATCTTCATTTTCTTCTCATGCCATTGGGTAGGTTTTCACAACAATTTTCTCTTCACCTCTCTCTCACCGGACTAGAAATATTGATGATGGGAGCGAAAAAAATGGTGAGAAGTTTGAAATGAAGACGATGAAATTTGAAAATGATGACTAGATGTTTGAAATAGAGGTGATGAATTCTCAAAATAATGACGAGAAGTTTGAAATTGAGGGTGTTTAGCTGCGCTTGAAATGTCGACATTAATTTATGATGTTATTGCAATATTTTTATGTTGTTATTGAAGTATTTTTGTAGTGTTATTGAATTGTATTGTTACAATATTTTTGTGGGGTTATTAAGGTGATGTTGATGTGTTATTGTGGTGTTATTTGAGTGATATTGTGCTCGTTCTGTAATCTTATTTGACTGGTGTTATCATGATGATATTGTGATATTATTTTGGTGTTATTTTAGTAGTATTGTTGCGGCTTGTGATGGTATTCGACTGATGTTATTGTAGTGTTATTATTGTTTTATTGCAGTATTTTTGTGATGTTATTGAGGTATTATTTAAGTGATATTGTGGTTGTTCTGTGGTTGTATTCAACCGATGTTATTGGAGTGCTATTATAGTGTTATTTCGATATTAATGTGATGTTATTGAGGTGCTATTGAGATATTATTGCAGTGTTATTGTGGTATTATTATGACGTTGTTACGGTATTTTTATAGTGTTATTGCAGTGTTATTATGTTGCTATTGCTGTATTTTTATGATATTATTGTGATGTTAGTGAAGCTGGTTGCCTCAACGTTGGATTGTTTTTAACGACGGGAGTAATTACAAACAACACATTTGAAATCCTCATCTTTTTCATGCTTTCATGACATTTTTAAGTACCAAAAAACAATCAATAATAGAGCTTGTTGGTTTGGAGATATCATGACAAATATTATTTGTGGACTTGCTTCTTTGTGTTAATAAGATTTTCATTCTATATATATATATTTTAAAGTTTGTTGACAACTTATGTCTAATGCTGTACAAATTATCTAGCCAAACGATGTCATGTAGATTTTCTTTCTCAATCATGACAATCCAAATTTGTTCAAACTCCTCTTTAGAGTCGTATTTGCTCATGCATTTGTAGAAAAGGTCGTTGACTGTGTTATTACCCACCCCACAATGGACTTTCAAAGAAAATTTTTTGTAGATATGTCATTGGCATAATCTATGACTTGTATGTGGCATAAAATCTTTTATAGCTCTTGTCATTGCTTGATCTTGATAAGTAAAGATTGTTATTGGATGCTTGTCATCCATGATACGAATAAATGTTTTGAATAGTCATTTGAATGAATCAATGTTTCATCTGACAAAAAACCATCTCTAGAGAGAATATTTTGTCAATGGTGGTTCACACCAATAAAAGGAGCACAATATAGATAATATTTATTCAGTATACAACTTGTATAAAAAATAATGACAACCTCAAAGCAATCTTAATCAAGTCTGGACGTGCCATAACTCCTGACAAAATCTTTCCCAATTTCTCTTTGTGATTATCCCTTCTACCTAACCGTCTGGCTATATAAATCCCCTCTTAGGAATGAACTTCTTTGACCTCAAAAAGTCATTGTATCATTCTTTAGCTATTACACTAACATACTTTTTGACGTAAGATTTTTTTCTACCACCCTTAGTCTTAGGTGTCATGAAGCTAAGGAAATCAGATATGGAAATGAGGAATTCGAGTATGAAAAAAAAAGGCAAGGAAATGAAAAAAATGATGGAAATGAGAAAATGAAATAAGGAAATGAGAACATGAAGAGAAAAGAGACGACGATCTCACCTACAAGCTAGGAAACTTATGTGACCTTCCTTCTTTTCCCTCTCCTTCTCCTTCTTTTTCTTCTCATTCTTGTGCTTCTCTTTCTTCTCGATCATCTCCTTCCAAAAACTTTTCTTGGTTGCTAGGGCAAGGAGGGTGATCAAGCAAACAAGAGAAAAAAGAAAAAAATATCACTTTAAATAAAGGACATGACACCGAGGCGTTGAAGGAGCAGAGCCAATGCGCTAAGACATATTTGAAAAATAGGTTAGGGGAAGCACATAGGCACTTAGACATGGCATGGGGGCTCCATTGTCTCGAGCGGGTAATGCGTGGGCACTCCAAAACAGTGTGGGGGTAACACTGTCACGTGTTGGTAACACCTAGGTGCTCAAGAGCAGTGCAGAGGTGCTCACTCAAGAACATGCATGCCTAATTTTTCACCCTATCACTTCACATGCAATCAAATCAACTCAAGTTAAGCATCCAAACTAGCATTGCATACATCACACTTTAAAACAAAAGCAAACTAAATGGAAGCATAAACAAATCACAAACAAACTATAAAATAACGCTTGAGTTGCCTCCTAAGAAGTGATTAGTTTTATGTCCTCAACCAATTAATATTTGATTTACTATTTAGGATAACCCAAGGTTAGAGTTTCTTTATGTCCAGTCCTTACACCACATAAGCGCAGTTTTAATCTCTAGCCATTAACCTTAAACACCCGAACAATTTTTCTATCTAAGTATCAACAAATCTAAATAGATACACTTATTACAGTAAACAAACCAAACCAATTGAACTTTACTTTTCCTGTGGAATAATTTTTAATTTTGAATTATAACAAAATCTCATCTTTATGTTCATAATTCATCAAAATAAGTTTTTGATCATGTCATTTCTTCATTTGTTCTTTATAGATTCTAGCATATTATAAGCCTCAAATCTGATCTCTTCTAATTTGCTCAAATATAATGATCTTTTTTCTACTGATTCCTTAATACTTAATTGAATTTCTTAACTAGTTAGTAGGCTATATGCTCTGATTTACTAGTCAAGTTAGGTTTTTCCAAAAATCAGCCTATAAGGAGACATTCCTATGAGTGTGTTGTATGATGTTCTATAGGCCCGTAAAGTGTCATCTAACTTGAGTGAACAGACCTTTCTACTTGAATTAACATTTTTTTTTAATTCTTTTGATTTCCCTATTAGACACTTCTGCTAATCCTGAGAATGGTAAGTATCTCAATTATTTTATTGTAAAATGATTTTCCCATCACTGATTATAACTCTAGGTGTTCCAAATCTACTAAAAATATTCTTCTTCAAAAACTATAAACACCCTTTGAATCACATTTGGTTAAAATCACTATTTAAATCTATTTAGAGACGTAATATGTTGCTACTAAGATATAAATCTTACCTAAAGAAGACACAAATTGCCCATGAAATCTATTCCCCAAACATTAAAATTTTTTACCACCATGTAGTTTAAGGGAATTTCATCTCATATCAAAATATTACATTCCCTCTAACATCGATCACATTTCTTAATATAGTTATTAACATCATTAAATAGGACAAACCAATAAAATTCAGATTATAAAATCTTAAAGGCAATTCTAAATCCTTCAAAACACCCTCTAAATTCAGAATATGACAGACTCTAATAATCTCTCACTTCAACTGAGATACACCTAATATTTTGATCCTTACACTTCCAGGCAAAAATGGTTCATCTCAAAAGTAAAATTCGGCATTTAAAATGAACTTCTCCTTTTGGTTATGCAACATATCAAAAAGTATAACACTATTAACAATGTAGTTCACTATCTCAACATACCGAGAAATATTTTGTTTTGAAATGGCAAGCAAAAATAATCAAAGAAATTTCTCATTAATATCATCAAAATGATCAAAAGAATATTGCTCCTATAATCAAGATAAATGGTTTGGTACCTTGTTTTAGTTTATTGCATATTGATTGCCTTTATATAAAATTTATATAACATAAGTATCCAACAAATCAATTGAGGTTTGATATCCTTCTTAGTTATAAGGTATTTAATAATAGAGTGGTCAATATAATTATAAACTTTAACTTTAGTGCATATCAGGTAAGACATAAAATTTTCAAATGCAAAGACTACTGCACACAAATCTTTCTTTATGATGGTATAATTCAGTTGAGCTTCATTTTGACTTCTACTTGCACAGTAACATGGAAAATCATATCTCTACGTTGTTCTAACACTGCTCCCTGCAACTTATTCGCTAGCATGATACATTAGCACAAATGAAAGTTTCCAACTCAGTGTGACAATAACAGGTGTAATGATTAATTTTTTCCTTCAAACACTCAAAGGCTCCAAGGTAGTTTTCATTAAACTCAAAAGGCACATCCTTCTCTAATAAATGACATAATCATTTGGATAACTAGAAAGGTCCTTAATATATCTACGATAGAATCTTGAGTGCTCAAGAAAACTTATAATCCCTCGAACAGATGTAGGTGAGTGTACTTTTCCTATATATTCGATTTTAATTACATCTATTTTCATCCCTTTTTATGATAAATTATGCCTTAATACAATTCCTTTGCAAACCATAAATTGAAATTTCTCTCAATTCAACACTAGTTTGGTCTCTTCACACATTTATAAAACTTTTGAAAGGTGTTCAAGACATACGCTAAATGATATGACATAAATAAAAAATCGTTCATGAAAACTTCAATCATCTTTTTTCTAAGATTTGAAAATAAGTCATCATACATTTTTAAAAAGTGATTGAGACATTACATAATCTGAAAGACATGCTCTTAAAGACAAGAGTTTCAGAAAAAACTAGTGAAGGTTGTCTAACCTTAACCCTCAGGAGCTATAGAAATTTGATGATATCCCAAATATCTATCAAGGAAGCAATAGTAAGAGTGTCTTACCAATCTATCTAACATATTATCAAGGAAATGTAAGGGAATATGATCTTTTCTAGTGGCTTTATTAATTTCCTATAATTTATATAAATTCTCCAACTTATGACACTCCTAATGGGTATTGTTTTTTTTTTGGTCATTTTCTCCACTGCTAGCACACCTCTTTTCTTAGGAAAATTGTATATCAAGCTAACCTAAACACTATCAGAAATTGGGTAAATGATTCTTGCATCTAATCACTCAAAATCTCCTTTTTTCGTTGCTTTTTTCACTACTAATTTTATCTTCCTCTAGAGATCAGTTTTGAGTTGGTGATCTTTTCCCATCAAAATTCTATGCATGCATAAGAAATGGCTAATACCATTTACTTCTAATATTGTCCACCAAACAAAATTTCCTAAAATTCTAAACACTCACATCAATTTTTCGCTTTTGCAATTCAACCAACTTAGAGGAGAAAAAATGATAAATAAAGTCGATGATTCTCCTAAAAATAAATATTTCAAATGGCTTGGGTGAACCTTAAGTTTTAAATTGGGGAACTCTACTACAGATGTTAATAAGGGTTTAGCATTAGCTGAGGTGTCTAAAATTTTAAACTTATCCCTAATCATTCCATGGTTCACTTCTAATAGTATAACTGATTCTTCTTTAAAAACTTTACTATTTTTGTCTATCAACTCTTATTGTAATGAGTCCACTCAATAATGTCAATAAATTGGGCCTTAATCAACTCATCCACCAAGTCTAACCTATAACAAAAATCATCACTATAGTCATGGGATATTTAAGCAATTTCAAAACATTGAATATCACTTCTTAATCATTAACCCCCATAGTCATCTTCCCCCTTCTAAACATCAATCATCATGCTTCTTTGCCTAAGATTATTGATATCTTCTTATCTTCCTTCATTTCTAAAACTATAAAATCTACAGGGAAGATAAACTTATCATTTTTAACAAGAACATCCTTTCTTTCTCCTCTGGGTTATGTAATAGATTGATCGGCTAACTACAGAGCCACTGGGGTAGGTTGAACTTCTCCTAATCCTAGTCTTTTGAAAATAGACAAAAATGTGAGGTTTATGCTCGCACCTATTTCACATAAGGCCTTCTTAAAGAATTTCACTCCAATGCATAAAAAATGGTACAACTATTCGGTTCCTTAAATTTTTGAGGAATTTTCTTTTGAAGAATTGAGCTACACTCATTGCTTGGGGCTACAGTCTCAAAGTCACCTACTTTTTTCTTTTATTAAGTATATCTTTCATGAATTTTACATAATTATTCATTTGATCTAAGGCTTTCACAAATGAATTATTGATTGTAATATTTTTAAATACTTTCAACAACCTAGAGAAATGTTAATCAATCTTATGTTTTTGAAGTTGTTGGGGAAAATGTGGTGGTAGCTTTTATTATTGTTTCCTATGAGATGAGTCATATTTTTCTAGGTCCTTTTTATGTTTTTCATTAGAACATTCGGGCTCAGGGTTAACTCCTTCGAGGCTAAACTCCTTAAGAGTTTCTTCCAACTCTTT